GAGTCATGTGGTATGTCCACGGGACCTTGGGCACCGTTCTGTCTTCCCATCTCAGGATGTCCGGGATGAGGCGATGCGTCCACGGGGCTTTCCTTGTGATGAGCCACCTCCTGTTCCATTCGGAGATTGTCACTTTCCTCTCCGCCTTCTTGATGGAATACTTCGTTGGAGGAGCGGTTCCGTCGGGCGGCGGTGGTAAGGCGACTCTTTCCTTGATTCTAGCCCTTTCCTCCGCTAACAGGTCTGCCGGGGGCATTCCTGCGAGGAGAAAAGCAGCTTCGTCGGACACTGTCCTGTAAGCCCTAATTGTCCTCAGCGCAGCGACCCTTTGAGGCCTTCTGAGATTCCCTCTCGCTTTGGCAGACGCGTTGACCGCCCTAGACCAGATGGGGGCTGCGTAGAGAAGCTGGCTTTCTACCACCGAGCTCACTAGCCTCCTCTTAGACTGACATGGGCCGTTGATGTTAGGCATCAGTCTGGCCAGAGCTACCGCCGAAGTTGCCGCCCTCTTGGCCACAGTCTCGACGTGCTTCCCGAAGGAAAGTCTGGTGTCGAGAATGACCCCGAGGTAGCGGATATGGCTACTGATTGCGATTGGTACACCTCCGATGGTCAGCTGCGGCTGATTGTAAGCCCACTTTTTGGTGAGCATCACCGCCTCCGTCTTGTGATGGGCGAGCTCTAGCCCTCGGCTGGTCATCCACCTGTCGATGTTTGCCAAGACGGGGTTCACGAGCTCTTCCAGTAGCTCACCCGTCTTCGCGACCCCCACGACCGCGAGGTCGTCGGCAAAACCGATTAGGTGAGCCCCGGGTGGGACTTCCGTGTTCAGCAGGTCGTCGTAAGCCACGTTCCAGAGCGCCGGTCCTAGAACCGACCCTTGGGGGACGCCGCATGTCACCGCCTTGGCCTCCCTGCGATCTCCGACTAGCAGCTCCCTGTCCGATAGCCAAGAGCGAATCATGAGCACCAAGTACTCTGGGATACCCTTTTTCCTCAACGCTTCATCGATCACCGGCCATCTGAGAGAGTTGAAAGCGTTCTTGACGTCGAGGGTTACCAGCACGCAGAGCTGCTTTTGCCTCCAGTTTCCGGTCCCGGCTTGATCGGCCAGTTTGGTGACTACTGCCACCGCAGACTCCGTAGAGATTCCTCTGCGGAAGCCGTACTGGTTTGGGGCCCGCAGCGCAAAGTCGTTAGCGTCTAGGTGACTTTCCAACCTCTGTAGTAGAAGCCTTTCCAGAAGCTTGCCCGGAGTGTCTAGGAGGCATATCGGTCGAAAGCTGGAAGGCGATTCGACGGGCTTGCCCGCACCCTTGTGCAGCAAGACTAGCTTGGCTTTCTTCCAATTCGCCGGAAACGTCAAGGATTTGAGGCACTCGTTGTAGACTTTGAGGGTGCTTCGGGGGCGAGTCCTGACGATTCTTTTTAATATCTCGTTAGGGATACCAGAAGGACCACCAGCTTTACCCGTAGACATCTTCTTCACTGCCTTGATGAGCTCTCCAGCTTCGAAAGCGGGGATCGCTCCGTCGAAGGCCGGCTCGTCCGCGGCTGGGTCGAGAGCGTCGATGTCTCTCGCTCCGGGAGCGGGCATCCTCGCCCAGTCGGTAATAGGGGCTGCCGGAAAGAGATGGTCAGCGATGGTGCGTTCGCGTCCCTTGGACGCAAGTCTGGTCGACCCGTCGCCAAACTTTTTCATTACTATCCTGTAGGGTTTCCCCCAAGGATCGTTGTCTACCTGCAGACATAGTTCTTTCCAGCCTTTTTCCTTCGCCTTCCTTATCTCGCGGCGGAGGTCCCTCCTGGCAACGGCATATGCTACCCTTGCGTTCTCCGAGGCTTCCCGACCCAGTCTTCTCAAACCGGATTGATAGACCCTGCGGAGCTGGAATGCCCTCGACCTGAGGTCCGCGATTGTTTCACTCCACCAGTACACGGGCTTCTTACCTCCAGGACCGGCTGCTCTCAACGGCATCGAAGCGTTGCAGGCCGCAGCGATGTAGGCGTCTAGGGCTTCCGCTGCTCCGGTGGCAGCTTCCGCCCCGTGGGCGACCGGCTGCAGTACCAGTTTGGTGGTGTTAACATATCCGAAGAAGGCTTCCAGGTCAAGCTGCTTCAGTGCCCATCCTGGGTGGGTGTTCACGGGGTCGTCCTGAGGCCACCCCGGTTGCTGCGCAAGTAGTGGGGGATCGATCCTGAAGGTGACGTATGCGTGATCGCTAAGGTTTAGATCTTCGAGGACCTCCCATCCGGATATCAGAGCACCTCTGGCGAATGTGACGTCGATGATGGAAGTGGCCTCCCCTCTGACGAATGTTGGGGTGTCACCTGTGTTGGCCAGGACGAGCCCTAGGCTGGCGGCAAACTCGGAGAGCAGATCGCCCCTAGGGTTGTTAGTCCTGGAGCCCCACTCGACGTTCCAAGCATTGAAGTCGCCGCCGACCACTACTTCGACGTCTCCCAGAGCCCTGATGGCTCGGTCCAGGTCGAACAGGAAAGCTGCGAATTCTCCGAGGGTAGTGCCCGGCCTCCAGTAGCAACTGAAGATGGCAAGGCCCTGAGCCCTTATCCACGCGAATCCCACGCCCGAGCCGCTCTCATCGTGAATGAAGCCGGTGCCAGAGGTGGTTCCGACCGCCGCTTTCCGGTCAGAGCTGAAGCACAGCCTTCCACCGCCGTCCGTCCTGGTGAATGGTTCACTCAGGATGAGGATGTCGATGTCCCTCTGCCTGACCGTTTGATCGAGGAGTTGTTGGGCATCCCAGTTCCCGTTGAGATTAACTTGCAGGAAGTTAATCATTTCACCGGTTTTCTGGAACGCCAAGACTCAGCGGAACATCTGGCCTTGCAACCGGCGGTACCCGGCCTGTGCGGGTTGTACTTGAACCCGGCGCGATCGCAAGCAACACACTTAGAGTCAGAACCTAACCTAACCTAACCTAACCTAACCTAACTAACCTAACCTAACCTAATACCGTTGAGTGTTGGTGGCACAAGTCTTTCGCGAAGAGCGGCGTCGATGCGTGGCCATGGAGCGGTGTTGAACGCGTTACGCACGTCGAGCGACACGACGACGCAGAGGTCACGATGCTGGACGGCGCCGGTTGCGGCTCCGCTTGCTGCTCGTAAGACCCGTTCAATCGCGTCATCCGTTGAAAGTCCGTATCGGAACCCGTACTGATTCTGAGATCTCTGTCCGGTTTCGTCAAGATGACGGTTTAGTCTCATGAGCAGGAGCCGCTCCAAAAGTTTTGCCGCTGAGTTCAGCATACACAGGGGCCTGTAGCTGGAAGGATCGTTTGTGGATTTTCCCTGGCCCTTGTGTAGCAGAACCAGCCTGGCGATCTTCCATCTTTCAGGAAATTCACAAACTGTGAGACATCGATTGAACGTCCTCAATAGCACATCTGGCACGATCTTGGATACCAGGAGGAGGACCTCATTCGGGATACAGTCTGGGCCGGTGGCTTTGCCAGCCGGAAGACGAAGGCATGCTTCTCGCAGCTCCTCAGGTGTGAACGGGTCCACTACTGGCGGAGCAAGATCGTTGATCAGTCGGGGCTCTTGGGACCAGTCTGTTGCCGGAGGATCTGGGAACAGATGGTCGGCAATGGAGTCCTCCATTCCTTGGGCTTCAATACCTGGGCGCCGGCGGCCGATCTTCTTGGTCACCACCCTGTATGGTAGACCCCAAGGATCGTCGTCGACTGCCTTGCAGAGATCAGTCCAAACCTAACCTAACCCTAACCTAACCTAACCTAACCTAACCCACTTCGTTCTATTTTGCAACATGCAACTAACCAGCGTCTCGGGTTGTAGATCGTTGTTAAGCACCACTTCCAGTGCTCGCCGCTCTCTCCACCACCTGCCACACCGGAACAACACGTGTTCCGCATCGTCGATAGATTCCCCACAATCGAGACAAGACTGCTCGTCGATTTTCCCGAATCTTTTTAGGTAGAACCTGAAGCATCCATGTCCTGATAGGAATTGCGACATGTGGAAACCTAACCTAACTCTTTTTTTTTCATTGAAAATCACTACATGAGGGCCGAACTGTTTTCACATTGCTTAACCCTCATGCAGCATCGTTTATTGATTTAAAAAACAATATATACAACTTTGAGTATCCTGCAGGACACCGTAACCTACTTTCCTCAGCGAATGCTGGTATATATGTGCAAGCTACGAATCCCCTGAGGATGAACAGATTATTTACACAGGATCATTGGGGGATCCACGGGACATGCCCCGAGTTATCCCCCTTACAACCGATATTATTAATTAATTTTTTATACAAAGGTGTTCGACGTCTTCTCGGACCGACATCAGTCAGCCGTCCTAGACATCTCGTACGGAGAGAGCCTCTTCCCGGACCGGCCTAAGCCAGCCGTCCTGGACATCTCGTGCACCTTTCCTCTTCACGAGCCGGCCGCAGCCCGCCGCCCTGGACATCTCGTGCGTGGTTGGCTAGTCGTTGACTTCAGCGGCTTGACGAACCCTTTCCTCTTCTTCTTTGAGCTTCAGGATGTCTACGACCATTTTGTAGAAAATCCTGAACGTCTCCTCAGCCTCCCTCAGAGCGAGATCTCTCTCCTGGTGGTTGGCGGGAAGATCCTCGAAGAGTGGCCCGCACAGGATGTCGGGCGCGTCTGCCACTGAAGGAGTGCGGCCTAGCCGATTTCGGAGATCGCCGCGAAGACCATCCCAGTTTGGACAGTGGAACAGAGTGTGCTCAGCAGTGTCCGACCCGCACGGGCAGTGCATGCACCTCGGGCTGGGAGCCCTACCCATGCGGTGCAGGTAATGCTGAAAGCAGCCGTGACCCGTTAGAGCTTGAGTCATGTGGTATGTCCACGGGACCTTGGGCACCGTTCT